CCGGGAGGCCCCCCGACCCCCCCCCCCCCCCCCCCTTTGGACGGATTTTGGAAACTGGTTTTTTCGGCACCCAAGGGGGGGTTCAAGGGGCGGGATACATTGGGGTTCTTCTTGGGAAGGGCCTGGGGGACAGGTTTCCAAACCCCAATTTGGGGGTTTGGGCAGGGTGGGTGGTTAAGAAATGGACCCCGGAAACCGGCCTGGGGGGGGGGGGGGGGGGCATCTCTCCGCCTCTTACGGTACGTTTTTTTTTTACTGACTTCGCGCATTGCCATGATTCGTTTTTCTTTCATGATCTCGTAGTGACTTGTGAACCGCCCGGCGCCCAGCCCCGTTGTTTGCAGCTTAAGGCCAAGCACATTCGAATACATGCATCCGTAACAATAGCACGCACGTGCCATCACCCCGTGTTTGGAAACAGCCGAAGTTCAATCCGCCTCTCTGTCAGTGCTTATTTTTCTTCCCACATTGCACTTGGCCTGAACTTACTCACCGTTGTTCTTAACACGACGGTGAGACCGTCCTAGTCTACAGAAATACGTAGATACAAATCGAGCAGTTGTGGCTTTGTCCCTTTCGTTTGACTTGAGCGTGCCTTCCGTCGCTACGCTTGCTTGCTTGCTTGCTTGCTTGCTTGTGTCTGCCCACAAAATCAGCGGTTCTCATGGCGGTCGCCGTGTCGCTAGGCTGGTGGCCCTGGCCTTGATCGTAGCCATCATTTTGGACACCGTGGAAAGCGCGAGCATTGAGGGTGAGTCTAAATATTGTGGTAGCCTGTGCTGTAGACTGCAGCATATCCACTAAGCTACAAGTCGATCAGCGCTTGACTTGTGGCGTAGTGGATATGCTGTACATGCAACATACGTGCGACCAGCAGAGCATCAGACGGAAGAGATTTTTTGCGGGAGGATTAAACGAAAACGAGTGTACACCAAGCCTTATATTTATGCATTCGAATCGTTATGTTGGTGTTTGGGTATAGTATGAGGAAGATGGTAACGGAAATACAGGGCCCCCCAGGGGGAGAACGCGAGAGGAACCTGCACCTGGAACACTCCGTCTGTGGAAGCTAGAGCAGGTGTTCACACAGAGAGTCTTGCCAAAGAATAGAGGTGTTCACAGAGAGAGCCTTGCGAGGACTAGAGACAGCGCAACACCGCAGAGTGTGACAAGGAACGAGGTGCACAGATAGAAGGCTTCGAGTGGTTTTCCAGCTGGAGGAGCTGGGAAACAGTGTTGTCTTTTCCTGCACACACACACCGTTCTTTCGAAGGTGGTGGGGGAGAGGAGAGGACCGATTGCAGCAGCCGTTTCAGTGTAATACTAGGGAGAAGAGAAATTGTAGGATGCCATTTGAGGGGCTTGGTCACCTGAGACTGCCGCGTGCGGTAAGAATAGTCCCTCCACCGTTAAGCACTATGCATGTATGTAGCAATGCAGGGAGTGACCGTTTGAGTGGATCACAATGTGGTTTGCTCTCAGTGTGTAGAGCGTGTTTCATTCACTTCGTTTGACTTGTCACCCACGATACCGATCCAACACCCACACAATATCATACTTTTACACACTTCTTTGCACACGGACGGTGGAGAAAAACTGAAGGAAAAGTATATATTTGTCCGGTGCGTAAACACGCCAAATTGGAATTCATGAGACGTTTTTTCTGCGTGCCCCCCTTGTCACCGAACCAACACAGCCTCTTTTTTTGCACTTGTGTGGTTAGCAAAACTTGGCAGCAGTGAGAACCGCGTGGTGCTGTAGGTCGCGGAGCAATGGGAGGGGGCTCCGCAATTGATTCAGGTATCCTTTGAGGCGTACCCTGCCCCCCTGAGATCTACTTCACAGTAAACTAGTGGTCCCCGTATACTGCCGATAGGTGCCAGTCTCTTGAATCGGCATTCTAGCGTGCAATCGTTATTATTCACGTTACGAAAACACTTGAATATTCCATCTGTGCCAGAGCGACTTCACCGTCATTGTACAGGGCATCAACCGGCATTGTAGCGGGAGCCACTGCTGTAGATCAAATCATCGGTTTTATTGTTCGGGCGTTAAGCTGGTGTAACAACGCGTTTCCTCCTTCGCCCGTGGCGTTGTCGCTGCTGCCGCTAGCTGCTGCCGTTTTTGATCCGTGCCGTGCAGTGCTGGTTGAGCTTCCGTCGGGCTTCAGGTGCACGTGGAACAACCTTCCGCACCTTGTCCAGTTCGTGGCCATAGTTATGGTAAGCGGCGCGTTGATTGAGTGTTCGTTAAGAGAGTAACGGCATCATGTTTTTGTTTCTGTCCGAATTTCACGGTTCGCTACAATGTACAGCTTTTGGCATCAACGTGGAACGAAATCTCGACATTGCTTTGGGAGGATCGTGTAGCGTGGTTTTTGTTTGTGTTGTTCGACAACTGAGTCAGTTGCCTTCACGGCCTCTTTTTCCAACCCAAATTTGAGATTTTTTTCCCACTTTGTCCAGAAAGCGCGACGAATATTTAAGCACCCCAATAGAAACGCACGAAATGCTGAAAAATGTGCTTTTCTTTCTTTTCAACTTTTTTTTTTTTTCTCGCGTCGTCCAGAAAGGGCGGCCGCCTTCGCCGCGCTTAGTCGTGGACTAGTTGGTCAGGGTCAGGGTTTACAGAGGGGGTCCCCGCGTGGTGCCGGTTGAATAACACCAATGCCCTGTATAGTCCCGGTGTTATCGGCGGGCACCCACTGAATACATTTCCGAAGTCATTGCCAGTACTTTGAATAGTGCCGGTCCGGTAGTGTTGTGCCGGCGAACTTTTTGGGCGCGTATTCCGGCACTAAACAGGGACCCCCTCTGCATTTCCCGCGTCGACCGAGAGTCCCGTCCTCTTAGAATCCTCATCACGCCACTATCATTACCTATTATTTCTCCGTATAACAAACCTTCTCTGCTTTTTCCCCGCACGCGGTGATGTTCCTGTACCTGTGCTACAATATCCCAAACTTCTTCGCTCTCTCCACACGCAGGTGGCGATGCTCCTGCGCTTGTGCCATTACAAAAAAACTTGTTTGCCTCTAATATTCCCGAATCACGCAGGTGGTGATGCTCCTGCGCTTGTGCCATTACAAAAAAAACTTGTTTGCCTTTAATATTCCCGAATCACGCAGATGGTGGTGCTCCTGTACGGGGTGAATCGGCTCTTCGACAAGGCCGACGAGGCTGTGTCCACTCGCTTGTCCTGCGCCACGGCAGCGTTATTGCACGAGAGGAAGCTCCACGACGCTCCCGGAATCCCTAAACCACCGCCAGAGACGAAGCCGCGCCTACAGGAGCGGCGGTGCGCGTCTTCTGGCGATACGGGAAAACCCCAGTGTTCTGGTCATGGTCGTGGTGTTTCGCCCTTGGGCCACCACCAGCAGCAGCAGCTTGTTCATCCTCATCCAGAGACTGAAATTGTCGATGAGGGACTTGGAGTTCCCGCCCAGCAGTAGTTTCATTGCTGCTGCCGCAAAATCCTCCAGATAGGAGGTGGTACAGTCGTCACTTGTGGCCTTGCTGCAGTATATGGAGTAGTCGAAAGCCCGTACGTTTGTGGCCTTGCCACAGTATAGAAAGTATTTGAAGGCCCGGGAGTTTGGTGTCGTTTGCATCCATCCACGGAAGGCGAACGAATGGTAAATTATGGAAAGTGGCTTTCGCCTCACGACAAAGTAGCAGTAGCAGCATGGATGCAATATCCGTCTTGACGCAGGAAAGGCAGGACGTCAGGATATACATATCGATATCACCTCGGTGCTTTTGATTTTGTGTTGTCGATGGATGTTCTCCTCATAAGGGGGTGAATAATTATTATTATTATTTTTTTGTGCTTCATGCGGGGTTGAGTATGTCTAGACGACAACGTCTTCACTACAGATATCTAAGGGAGTTGGTGGGTGTACGGTTGGTTAACTACATGCTCTGCTGTTGATGGCCTGTTGTTGCTGCAGCATCACCTGTACCAGCATTGATGCAATATATGTGGTACCGTCTTGGCACGGGACAGAAGTGACGTCACCGTCTTGCTTCCAGTTAATGTTAATCGTGTTGTTGCGTATTCCTCGTAAGACGGAATCGCTATAATATTTTGTGTGGGTGGCGTTGGGTTCTCGGGATTGATTTTGTCGAGACGGTAACGTCTAGGCTAATTTGGTAGATGGTGGATATACCGGGGTGGAAACTCCATATGCTGTTGATGGTCACCAGCGGAGTTGTTTGTTGCTGGAACATCACCTCTAGCAACATGGGCGTCTTCACACGGGAAAGGTGGAACGTCAGCATATTGGTGTCAGCATCTGCGTGCACTCGAGTTGTGTCGTTGGTGAATGGGTGTTCTCCTCGTTAGCGAGAGTCATCACAAACGTTGTTCCTTTTTCTGGGTGAAGCTCGGTCCTCGGAGTTGACTTCGCCGATACAGAGCAGCGTCTATATATGGGAGCTGTAGTATACGTACATACACCGGTGGGTAGCAGTTGACGGTCCTGGGACAATCGTGACGTCAGCATCTGCGTGTACTCGAATCGTTTTGTGGACGGGTTGTTCTCCTCACACGAGGGAATCACAATGATGATAGTTTTGATGTGTGAGGCAGGGCCCTCGGGGTTGAGTTCGTATGTCGGAGCAGGTGAACTACAAGTACTTGAGTGCTGTTCCTGCAACCTGTAGCAGCATGGATGCAGCGACGGTCTCCGCACGGGAACGACAGGACGTCAGCGTGTAATGAGTTCGTCGAGACGACTAATGTCGGTGGTTCACTTCCGGGGTTTCCTCCTGCGGGTGGGGGTGGGGGGGGGGAGTGACATTCCCTGAGGACTGGTGCTGCGGTAGGGGGGGTGCACATTTGGTGTGAAATCTTATACACTTCTGGGGGAAAACGTGTATAGTTCGATGTCTGTCGGTGATCTCAAGACGAAAAAGGACGCGGCCAACAGGTTTGGTTACGGAGAGCGTTTCTCCCTGCTCCAAGGTGTACGATGAGGTGACGACCCCCTACTGTGGTAATATTAGCATCACTCTCCTGAGGACAGGCAAGCCCACGGCGGGCGGGCGGGCGGGCCGCGGCGGGGGTCACGAGAAAAACTCTGATGCCACTGTGGCATAAACTGCACCACCACCTCCTTCCGATACGCGTAGCAGGTATAGGCAGGTTTTATTTTCGAGGTTCAAACACCGTGTGTCGCTCAAAAAGAACTCCCGGCCGTGTAAGGCAATCAATCAACCAGCCGGGGTCGGTCGTGCTTGTTGAAATACGCTTCATATGGAGTGTTTGAGGTGTGCGGCACGTGCGCTGCGTCTCGTATTTGTTGTGTTCTTAACGATGTGCAATCCAACATCGTCTCGGCATGCACTGCCGGCGCATACATGGGCTGGATCACACCAACCTAATACAGTAGAGGTCCCTGTTTAAGGCCGCAAATTTAAGGCCGGTGGCCCTTTTTAACGCCGGTGAAATCGTCTGTCACACTTGCCTTCCTTTTTAAGGCCGCACAGGCCTTAAACAGGCGTAGTCCCTATTTAAGGCCGATTAGGGCGTCCGCGCACCCTATATAAGGCCGGTTTTGGTGTGACGCACCCAGTTCTTCGGCAGCATTATTCAAGCCGCAACACAACCACTCCAGAGATCTACACAACAGCAATACCTAGCGTACCCCTACCGACCCAACCAGTAGGAGCACACATGCCTTGTGCGGCTGGTGACATGAGGCATTTTTTGTAGACTCGATAGGCGCATGGATGGGGGGAGGCGTCAGTTGATTGAGTGGTTCTCCCGCGTCCGGTGTCGTGTCCGGTTTCATCCTTGTATTTTCAACTTCGTGTGCCGTTGTTAGTGTATCAGGGGGTAGAGAGGTCGGGCTGTTCGATTTTTTTGTCGACTTTGTGTTTGACGGGTAAGCACCAGTTGGTCAGTTGGCGCAACATGTGCATTTTTCGATGGTTGTTGTGTTGTGCAGATCGTTGGACTATTTGCTGTGGGCGTCCTCTCATTCTGATCAGGATTGATTGGCAGTATTGTTGTCGACCTTCACGAGGGAGCCACTCGATGAGATACTTCGCACGTACCAAGTGAAATACATATTTTTGTGGACGTCAGCTACTACGGCAGCAAGTAATATTCGGAAACATGCAACATCATTTTTTGTCACGACGTGTGCGGCTATATTAATCTGTATACGTATGTATAACGTGCATCCTGCGAGCCTTCAGACACGTTGGGGCCCGCCACCTTCCCGAAAGGCTTGAGTGCAGCATCAGTATTCCTCATGTTTTAACCTGCCTTATTGAGGAATACTCAGTCCTCTATAAGGCCGATACCGGCCTTAAACAAGACCCGTTTCCAATAAGGCCTGGTGCCCTCTTTAAGGCCGGTCATTTCGTCTGTCACAGGGCGGCCTTAAACAGGGACCTCTACTGTATGCCTTTCGCAACACAGATTCATTGGGCTACACTACTATATATAGTACGTACGTGAGTGAGGTCCCACAGAGGAAACGAAAGGTAATCGGCACGCCCTCTCTGTTCTCTTCCCCATTACCATGTGGGGACTCCGCACGTACTACGTCGTCAATGCACATTGGACTAGACGTGGGTTAGCGCGCGTTAGACGGGAGGTGCGCCGTGGTTGTCTTCTACCTTGGAATGACCCACAGAGTGCAGAGTGCAACGGGCCATCGATAAATAAAAAAATGACATCGGGACGGAGAACCGAGAACCGAGAACGGTTCTCGGCACCGTTCTCCAAAACCAAAAATGCGGCGGGTTACTCGGGGGGAGCAACTAGCGGGGGGGGGGGGGGACGCGGAGGCGAATGAAGGACGGCGAGCAAGGCCAGACATCGATCGTCGAGAGGGAGAGCCGTGCGTAAAGAAAAGAAGCCGAGCGTGACAAGCCCCCCTCTTTCGAAGACGAAGGACAAGCAACTTTCGATCAACGCACACAGCGGTGAGGAGAGCACGGCCTGCAGTCGCCTGTGAACGAAACACGCAGTGTTTTTTTTCGCCGTTTTGTACAGAAGAACCAAAGCTATGTATGATGACGCGTCGATCGCCCTCGAGAAACATCACGGTTATTTTGGCGCTGTATCTTTTCGAAGGCCTTCTTCGAGAATCCAGGTACGTACACTACGCGTTGCGGTGCCCTGGCATGCGGGAAGGGCCCGTCCCATTACTGAATCCCTCGCCACCTTCCGTTTCCGGAGATAGGCCGTCTCCCTGCTTCACCCGCCTGTTGGCTGCTTGTATTCATGACGACATATATCATTGTCATGCGGCTCGTCCGCTGTCGTAACGTTGATTAAGCAGTTTTATCTACCTTTTATGGCGCGCCCCCCCTCTCTGTCTACCGTCCAAAATCATTTCGATGTCGTGTACAACGTACGTACAACACCTGGAACAGAGCCGAGCCTACCTAAACACTTGTTTTTGCTCTACCATCAAGCATCTCCATCACGTGCATATGCATGCAGCATGTAGTAGTTTGCTCTTGAGATCTGCTTTTTTCCCTCTCAACTGATGGCGGGTTTTCCGACCCTTTGTCCTTGATGGATAGGGGCGCAGGGTTTTACCTTCAAGAGGTTCAAGGTTGCAGTTGGGTTTTCGCAATAAATCATGTTGTAGCCGGTCAATATTAGCGCCGTCAGGTTAATGTAGTAAGTGGGGCGAGAGTGAGGGAGAGAACAACAAAGGGTTAGAGGAGGCGGGCGTGGGAGTACAACAACGGGCACGCGCGTGAGCGGTGTGCGAGTTCTCGAGGTCCGACCATGGCGTGGACCATTTTTTCTTCATCGAAGACTGATGTTCCCGCTTGCGTTGTTTTCTCCTTACAGTAAATGAACAAGAGCCTGATGCTCTAAAGTGTACTAATATTTAGTGCTTCTGCGTTTCCTCACCCCCCTCCGCTTCCACACTCTCCAAAGACAAAGCGCCATGCAATTTTTTTTTTTTATTGTTCTTCACTTCAAATCAGCGCTCACAGCACTAGTGCCGTTTATTCCAACCCGTGGTCACACAGAAGAGCCTCTCTCTCCCCTCCCCTCCTGCGGTACTTCGCCTTCAATTTTTATTGCGAGAAGAGTTCAGCACTCTCTTCCCTCTGTGTACACACGAACTAGCGCTATCCACTTGGCAATTTGCTTTCGTTCAATTTCACCCCCCAATTTGTATGTGTGCACAGACCTCTCGAGATCCCACGGAACAACAACGGAACAACAACAACACCAGTTAGACGTAAACCACCCTATCACGTGCCGGATTGCGCGCCCATCCCCGACGTGTATTTTTGGTGGCATTTCAAGGCGTCATCAACCGTCACTACATATTGTTGGTTTCATTCAAAACAGTCGTTGCCACGACTGATCCCTCTTATTTTTCGATCGATCATAGAGAATCAACTACAATCAATCGTCACACCGGCGGCACACATACATGTGCGTTCACCAATGTAGTCTGGCTGCCTGCATGCGTCTGACGAGCACAAACGAGGCGCTATTCCCCGCAGAAAAGGGCGTTCTTATGTTCCGTGACTACCCCGCTCACCTTCCCGTCCGCTCTCTGCTCGCGTTAGCACATTCTTGCAAACGTCACTTGAAGCGGTATGATGCCCCCGACTCGTCGCCCATGTTGCCAGCGATCCGACCACCTCCCCCCCCGCACCAGTAGAAGATTGGCCCTCAACAGCTAGCTGTTCCAGGTCTCTCCCGCAGAATCTGGGGAACAGGCAGGGCACCTGCCATGACTGCAGCTAACGTCCGCGTTTAAGAAACGTCAGTTTGGGATCGAGGACACATTTCGTATTTAGTCCCCACCGTCGACCGTAGGTCGCACTATTTTTTGAGTTTAGTGTAGAGTTATCGACGGCTGGGGCGTGTTTCTTATCTAGTCGAATTCGTCGCATATTTGTCGTCAAAGTCTGAGCCTGCCTTTGTTATCTTAGAGGTATGTTTCGTAGTCACGAGAGCTAGCTCAATAATGAAGCAGCAGTGGATGATTTTTTCTCTCAGCCGGCGGCCTCTCTAAAATTTGAGGGCGGCAAGGACCGCGGTTGGCTCCGTCATCTGACCATGTGATCGTTGACAAAAGGCGACCAGAGATATGTAGCAAAAACAAATTCGGTGGCCGCAGAGAACAAACCTGTCGCTTTTTATGCTTTCCCCCACAAGGCATCTTCCCCATCGCCTTCTCTGATGAGCACACCCTCGAAACGGACTAGTCTACATGAGTTGCACGAAGGGCGACCATCAGATGGTTCCGTCAATATATGCATATGTTCACGAGAACGAGCAGCGGTTTGCAATTTTTATTACGTTTGCCACAATGAGTCTCCTCTCCATCGCCTTCCCTCATGAGGACAGGACTGCGTAGTCTACACGACGTTTGCATCAAGGGCGACCATTAGATGGCTCCGCCAACATTAATATTGTGTGTCATCTTGTGTGCGACTGGCAGCGGTAACTCTCTCCATAGCAACTCGGTGGCAAAAGGCATTTCATCCTTGTCGGCCCTCTTCAAGCGGCAACAGCAGCAGCAGCAGCAGCAGCAGCAGCAGCAGCAGCAGCAGCAGCAGCACTGATTTCGGTTGCCCCCCTCCATGAGGTACGCATAGGTACGAAATACGACCAAGAGAGGAGGTACCCCTCTATTTCCCTGGAGTTGAGAGGCGTGGGGGTGCGCCCGCCCTTCATAAACCGTGCCACCCAGACGACGTGCTGCATTCCCAACTCGCTGCATGCTGGGGGTCGTTGTGTCCGCGACGGTCAGCGGTAACTCTCTCCGTTAGACCTGGGTGGCAGGAGGCCCCTCATCCATCTCCTCCCTCTTCAAGCAGCAGCATCAGCAGCGCTGATTTCGGTTGTGCCCCGCCCCCCTCCCTATGGTGCGCGTTTTTCTTTTTTTTTTTTTTGTTGTATTTTTCAGAAATGTCCCGCAGGATGAACAAGTTCATGATGGTCGCCATCGGCTTAGCCGTTATCCAGCGGGCTTTTTTTTCACCAGCCGCGGGGAGCACGTCAGGAGCGGTTTCCGGGGAAGAATTGGCCGGTTTTGCCGAACGCTTTGCAAGGAGCTGCTTGTTGGCCCGGTCCTCCGAAGAAAGGTGTGTGTATATTAATCATGTGGAGCTCTCACACCACTTATTTCTGCTGCAAGAGGGGCATCATATAGCCCCCGGCCAGAAAACGGAGTTGAAACGCTTAGAGAGTTCGCATCTGCGTGTGTCGTCCAAATTATATTTTTTTTGAACGCCGGCAGCCGTCCAAAATTTGCTGTGAATTTGTCGGGACGTATGTTGGCGATACCAAAAACTGTGTCTTTGGAGTGTGTCTCCGGTTTCCCCGCTCAACCCGACTTTTTCCCCATTCGCGCGCCCGAACGACGTGTCGCACCAAAAACGATGCAGCGAGGCCCTCCTATCGTGGCCCGCTGTCTCCGCGGGTGCTGCAAGAGCGGCATGCCTCGGTACGCTTTTCTTTAATCGTGTTTTTTTTTTCGACCGTTTCGGGTTGAAAAACCCCACACGCTCGTGAATTGCTAACTCGCTCTCTCGTTGTTTACGCGCACCCCCCTCGTTGGCAATCTCGCCGACGCGAGTACACCCTGGCTTGCGTCCTATTTTGGTCGATGTTGAGAAAACATGAGCTCACCCTTGTGCGTGTGGGTGGTGTTTGCTAGGTGATGAAAAGTGTATGTGTGTGTTTGTGCCATCTTTTCTGGCGCCAGTCTACACGTCAATGCACCTCTCGATGTACTTTTCTGACGGATCAGCTGGGGTACACACAGGCGAGAGAGGTCGCGCAGGAGTTTTTCTTTCTTAGCCCCACGCAGGCCCGAGGCGTATTCCCGCACAAGCCACAGTAGTAGATGGCGCCGCACCTCCCTCCCGGCCGCGAAGTTTTTTTCACGTTGCCCTCTCTCTGCACATTGAAGCAGAACAGGGATCGGTTTGTTGGCCCCCACGTTTCCCTCAACGGTCGCGCTGCTAGATACGTACACGTGTTATTTTTGCAGACACTAGGGTTGGTTGAATCGTCGTGCCCCTTTTGCAGCTCATTTGATAACCGCGCACAATGCCAGGAGGATTACGCCCAGGTCTTTTACTCAGCTATGCGCGTGCGTTGTCTCTCCCTCTCTTTCCCTCTCTTTCCCTCTCTCTTCTGTCTGTCTGCCTGTCTGTCTGTCTGTCTCTCTCTCTCTCTCTCTCTCTCTCTCTCTCTCTCTGCTGTTCCTCTCTTCCTCTCTTCCTCTCTCATTCTCTCTCTCTAACATGCGGCGCCATCAATGCCCAGGAGGGTGGAGCTGTGCAGCAGGAGACGTGTTGGACGAGGGCACCTTCTTTCTGCTGGAGTTGGGGTGGAAGACCTTGATTAATTTAATTGTGAGAAGTGGGGTTGCACACGCATATGGTGCTAAAATGTTGAGAGTGTTTTGAAGGATCGTCCAGGTTCCGACGTCATTTTTTTTTTTTTGCGTTTTTTTCGTTTTGCGTGTTGCGGGTTTCCATCGGCATGCATGCTGACTTCGTGTTTTTTTTTTCTTACGAAAAGCACAACAAATCCATCGCTTCCACAGATAAAAGAGTCGTGATACGTACAGCGACCAACCTGTATTTTCATGGTTTCCCGGGCAGCGTACAGCTATATCTCCCCTGTAGGTAACCGGCCCGACAAGACACTTAGGTGGCCATCGTGTGTATCCGACTGTATGCTATGCTGGGGAGTTTTTCCTTGCACTTGGATACAGGTTTATTGCCCCTTTCACGAGTGTCTATCACACCCCAAGTCCTGATGACCGCTCGCTCTGCTGTCTCGTCGTCCAACGAGAGCCGGGCCGATAGAAGAGTCTTCGGCCGCTAACGTTTGTCTTCATTTTCTCCTACGATCTTCCCTCCTCGTTGAATATTTATTTGCCTTGGGCAATATCGCTGTTCGCGAGAAGGGATCGGCCTGAACACAACCCCCACCACACACCGACGGCCACGTCGACTGCTCTTAATGGTGTCGGAGAGGCGGTTAACGTGGTGAAGCTCACATCCCGTCGTATGTGCGTGTGCTCCGACAGATACTCCGAAGCCTGCATTACCTCGCGCCGAGGTTTCACGGACCATTCTAACAAGGCATGCATGGGCGGAGAAAGCTGGGGTGCAGGGAAGGTCCGGGTCACAGAGCATGCACACATCGGCGCCGAGCCAGGCGCTGCAAATAATTGACGGGGGTGGGTGGGGGGGGTGGGGGGGGGGCTACGCGGAATCAAGTTCTAGGGCAGACGGCCCTGGCGTGTGCGTGGCCCAGCGAATTCTTGAGGGAGCAGGCAACGGCGAGGGGGACAGAAACCCCTGCCGCCGCCATGGCTCATCAACAGCTTCGACTGCGATATGAGGGTCAGGGCTGTAAGTAATGCTCTGGTACCTCGGAACCAGACGCAGTTGCACCAGTGGGGGCAACAACAAGAACAACAACAACAAAAGCAGCAGCAGCAGCAGCAGCAGCGGCAGCGGCGGTGGAAGCAGCAGCAGCAACAACAACAACAAAAGCAAAATAAAACAATAAAGTATGTTGGAGACTACTTGTACGGGTCCCAGACAGAAAAAGCCACAACTCGTGATGGTGGCATAGAGGTACTCGATATGGTAACCCAAGCAACAGACAGTGGTCGATCTCTCCGTAGTTTGACGGTGATATGGCGATGCGATTGCTCCACCCGGCCCTGGAGATAGCCTGTGACGACTTGGAGCATTGCGTGTGCCTCACTGTACCCTGTCTGTCCCTTTGAAATTTTGTGGCAGTAGTAGTCTACAGCCTGTGTTGAGAATCGGATCTGGAGCAATTTCCGTAGGGCATGGAGGACGGGTTCAGTTTTTACCCGGCCGACAAGATTCCGCCATCGATTTGGAGCGTTCGGTTGTACCGCACACCAACTTGGCCTACGGTAGAATTGGTTTGAGTCCCACGATATCTTGTTTGGTGGGTTTTTGTCCCATCAACAAGGTGGGCTGCTTGAGGCTATGTGTTTTATGTCGTGGTAGGTTTAGACTAGACTGCTGTAGCTAAGCACACATACAGCCGTAGGGTGTGATGCGGGCTGCTTCTGACTGAAGTCTGTGTCCACCCGCGTGGTGATTGCACTTTGACTTGTGTCGCTTGCTTGCATCTGTGTTGGAAACACGCAGATTCGGTTCAAGTTTTTTTTGCGGGTCGTAGATACGAAGTTTTGGCTGTTCTTGATGTTGGGCTTTCTCTGATGCGCCACGAATGGTTATTCTTGGGTACTTCCGCGTCGTTCTTGGAAACACCTGCTGTGGAGGCCATTATTTTACGTCTTGTACTATTTAGGATCACGAACACCGTGTGGTCAGGATCAAGGTGCTTCTGTAGTCGTCCGCATTGACCAACCAGATCAGATGGTTCTAGTGTAGAGTCCGGTTTGGTTTGTGGTCGTTGTCGTGGTGGGCACGCGTTGCATCGAGTTTAGTGTGTGCATGTGGGCGTGATGTTTTTATCGTGATGAATGGTGCCGGCTCGTGTTTCTAGTCCGCGGGCTGCGTGTTTGTTTCTGTGTTTGTTTCTGTGTTTGTAACTAAGGATGTTCGGAGATGGGTTGTGTGAGTGGTGTTCGTTCTACGTTGCGAGCGTCTTATTTAGCGCTGGCCGGGTGGTTGAAAAAGCGATACTGTTTTCATGTCGAAATGTAGCGCTGTGGCCAACTACATTTCCCAGTTCGATGCAACTGGGTGGTCTTCGTTTCGCCCGCACACCCATGGTCGCTTCTCCCACCTTCTCAGTGGTATTGGCCGGGAAAGGTAGGGGGGGGGGGGGTTGCAGGGGTAAGGGGGGTAAGGAGGTAAGAGGGTAAGGGGGGTAAGGAGAGAAGGGGGGGAGCGGGGTAAGGGGGGGAGCGGGGTAAGGTGGTGAGGGGGATAAGGAGGGAAGGGGGGGTTAGCGGGGGGTAGGAGGGAAGTGGGCGAGGGGAGCAAGGGGGTAAAGGGGAAAGGGAGGGTCGGTAGCACCTTTCTTTATGGATGCTGAGGGCCGATGTAGGGAAGCGCTACCTCAGCCTCAACCTCCTTTTAACTACAAAAGCAATCGCACGAAGGGCTCCCCCGTTTAAACGCCAGGGGGGCGCGTGGAGGCAATGCTTAGGGCAGAGCGGTGCCACGTCATGTGATGATGCGCAGGGTCTCTCTCTGCTTTTCAGTGGGATGCTGTCCCTTCAAAACACCCCCAGCGGCGAGTGGGGTTGGCTTGACTGTCGAAAGCAGACGCAGACGACGCGCAACCCTCGGGCTTTCCGCGGAGATGCGAGGGTGATCTACGGTGCTGGTTATGATAATACCGATTGTATTTTTGCGGTAAGTTTCAAGTGGTTCGTCTTGGATGCCTTGTAGTTCGGCTTCCGACGAGCGGTTGGATCAATGGGAGCTCGTTGAATGCACCCTTCCCGTGCCGATACTCCACACGAAAAATGGATACTTCATGAGATAAAATGGAAGAGTTCCTTTGCAAACGCCTGTGACTCGGTGGACGAGCGCTCGCGTCGCGAATGAATGGCGGACGCAGTCGATGACCGCCCGCGGCAAGCGGCGGTCCAGCGGTCGTGCGTATCGGCAACTCGGAGACCTACTTGGCCTTGAAAGAGAGCATTCGGGAGCCCAAGCATCTTCATAGATAGACGTTCAATAGAATCGGATAAAGGTATCATTTTTAATTGGCTGTGTTTTTGTTTGAAATGGTTGTGTTATTGTTTTATTTGTTTTTTATTTTTCAGGTCTTGGGAGTACGTATCGCAGGAGGAGGAGTGACGACGCATTTCGCTCTGCACGCTAGCACTAGCCCACTCCTCATGTGCTGCTTCCGCTGCCGCAACCACCCACAGAGTTGTTGTTTCCAGCTGGTTATTTCCAAGTCGTCGTTGCATCTGACAAAAAGCGAGCTGCTCTCCAAAGCTCCAAAGCTCCTAGCTTAACCAGGCCTCCTAAAGGTGAGTGCGTTCGGATTATTCCGCGAGATGTGTTCGTCTCGAGGCCGAACCCCCACTCTCGCTGCCCACGGACCGCTTGTTGTTCCATCCGGCAGTGGTATGTACCTGAGGCGGACTTTTCGCGGCGCGAGATAGATGTGGAACAGCTTTGCTTGTCGTTGAAACTCTTACACTTTGTAGAGGCCTGTGGAGCGCTTCGCAGGAGACTGGGCGACCCGCGGCTGGTTCCACCCATCACGATGAAGAAGAGTACTAGGGGAGTGTAAAATAGGCGATTTTCTCTAACGCATCATCCCTCCGCCCCCTACAACGCAACAATCAACATCTCGGTACACACCAACCCGACGGGCACTCTGTCCGGTACTCTGGATACAACAGGCACGGATCTCGAACCTTGCCGGCTTACACAGACATTGCAGGTTCTGCAGGGCCGTGATTGAAAGTACTGAGCACGAAACCGACGGAGAGGAGGAGGCGTTCTGCCCTTTGGCTAGACATGCATAAGGGATCACGGGGGGGAGCCCCGGAGGTCGGACGGCGATATGCCGCTCTCCTCTGACGCAGCAGCCTACGAGAGGACGGCGGCCCTACTCATTATCGTAGTAAAAAATCCTGAGCCTCGACTTCGTGTTATGCACATCATGCTTGTCAGCGGGCCGGCACTGCAACCAACTGCCCTTGTAATACGCTATGAAGGAGTCATGGTGCCGTCGTCTACCTCGCGTGCGACACAGCAGCTGCTCGGGAAATCGTGGGAAAACAGAATTTTCGCTGACGCTGTGGATTCATTGCTAATCTATCTTAAACTCTTTTTCTTAGATAGAGATGGATGGATTCGTTGCGGTGTGTCTGTGGATGCTGATGGTTCTTGTAGTCTTCACCTCTGTCTCTCGCGTGTTTGCAGTTCGTGGATGCTGATGGGATGTTACCCCCCGGACATACCTGGCTTTGAAACCCGCACGTCGACGGCCTTAAGGCAAGACTCGCCCCATCTCTGCAGTCGATATCTGTATCTTTCATGTCGCCTGTGTGTGCGCGCACAAGCGATGAAGTACCACTTTTACAACGCCAGCAGGCGGGACGGCGGGACCGCTGGATGACGATATTATTTGCTCCGCCTGTGCGCCGAAACGGGTGGTTTCGTTTTCTGAACCAAAATGCTCTATGTAAATAATATCACGAGCGCTAAATTGAAGCGGTGCAAAATTAGGTACTTTCTGACGCTATTGTGTGAATCCATTGCTAATCTGTCTCAGACTCTTTTTCTATGATAGAGATGGTTTCGTTGTGTCATACTAAGAAGAAAAAAAAAAAAAATCGTCAACCAGCAGGCAGCAGTTACTGGCACACTGGCACACGTGCCCACAGCGAAAAAATCGCGTGTGCACCGCGTCCGACGCACACGTATCAGCAGGGTGGGGGCAGACACCCACCAACTGGGAGAAAAACCTGGAGACATCGGCTACTGACACAAGACAACCAATCGCGTAGGTTGGATCAAGCGCTACAGCAGTCCAAGGGCGGTCGGCGTGTGTGACGACGTGACGTGCTTGCGGTGGAAGGTGTGCCTCTTTCGGCCCTTCGGCGCCTTCGGACACAGCGAACACGCGAACACTCTTCTATCGGTGTGCGATGTTCGACAACGAAGCCAAAAGAATGTTGTTCGTGGTGGGTGGCTCGTCACACCGACACATGATGCTGAAAATGGAATCAACCGACCGAACACCGAACACTTTATTTATACTTACACCGAGTACCCCGGAAGTTGTCAACGCGCTACTCCCCAGAGACGGGGCTGCTGCTGTGGCACTCTTTCTGCCTCTTCAACGCCGGTCCTCACTCTGCTACTCGAGGCCTTCTCATCACGTATCATTTTATTTTGGAAGCGTACAGCATCGCAGTGTAGTATGAACACATAGGGCATAGGGGCAGCGAAAAGTATTCTGAACCCGGTGGTGAACCGTTGAAAATGGTCTGAACCGTTGTTGCCATTCGGACACAGCAAATTACCCGCCCCCAGCTCAGCCCCGCAACGCCCCGACATCCCCGCCTCTTGCCCGCCTTCTCCCCGCCTCCACGGACTCTGCACGCAACACACAGCACACGCACGCACGCACGCACGCAGTTTCGGACGTCGGCTCTGGTTCTTCCATGGGGTTGCTCGTGTGTCCGTGTGGTGTGATCTGAGAGTGTGGTGAGTGGAGCCGCCACGTGCTTCACCGGTGTTGACCTGTGCGCGATCGACAACCAAACTGACACATCGCACCTCGGTTGCAGTGTTGTTTTCGTGTTCGGCTCGCACCGGCCTAGACCAATGTATGTATAGCAAGCGCCGTAGTTTTCGACGACACACACCCGACAAAACCGAACACACAAGGCGCTCTTTTCTGGCGTGCTGCTTGCGACGTGCTTCGAAAACTTGACGCTTCGGTCACGTCCGTATACATCAGTTTCCTTGGAGCACGTACAGCAGTGGATGTACCCCGCGATACGCCGTAGACGTGGACAAACAAGGAATCTCCTACGGAACAACTTCGGAGTATGCCTAAGTCCTGGGGTGCACAGAGAGGCATAAAGTAGAACGAGTCTAGTTGTGTTTTCGCATGAAATAGGCATGCGTACGGTGTCCGTTTCGACGGGTAGTTGTGTCGGCCGGCGTTCTTCAGTTGAAGTTGTCGTGTGGTTCTCACAATCTCAGATTGGCAACAAGGATCTCCCTGTACTGACCTATTTCGTGTGGTGGGTGATAGCAAGAATGAAGTAGGCGAGCGAAATGGTCTTCGTGTCTCGCAAGCACCCCTTGTGTTTTTTTGGTTCAACACAGCACCACGGATGATGTGTACCAACTCCCCCCTTTGCCGAATGACTCGACGGTTGGTTGTCGAGGTAGTTTTTAGTTTTTGTCACGGTTCGGGTGCGCTCAGTTTCGCACTCTTTCTCTTTGCTCCCAAGAAAACCAAACAGCGGCCGGAGGGCTGAAACATGGCTGGATCAAGCGTGTAAGTGGTGCCTGCAAAGCGTCCGTCATTGGCAATGGCGTCAAAACATTTGAAATGCGAGCGTGCTGCATTACTTTTCCTGTTTCCGTGGCTGAGAGTAGGCATTGCCTGACGTGGTCCGCTAGACTTTCACCGATCAGCGCAGTCGTGGTGTTGGCCTGAACTGATCTTCCACACGCACAGCCTTTGACCAGGAGTTGAAACGAGCATGTAGTAGGAGCATGGTTCGCGCAGACCAGCCAGCACCCCTCGAAACTTACATGGCGGGAGTCGAAGAACGGAAAGGGTCGTTCTGAAACGCCAGCGCGAGGCTGCTTGCAGCGCGGCACACTGATTGGGTGTGAGGGTTACACGTGTCTTTCCTTGAAGACCCCGATGGATGATTACTCGTTGATAATCTTCTCTTCTAGTAGCAATGCTCGTTGTTTGCTGCCTTTCTCTCTTTGGTGAACTAAACAGGGGGGGGGGGGGGGGGGCCCCCTTGCAGGGGGGGTCTTTAACGTTTACCCCCGTGACAATTTCCCCCCCCAGGGGGTCTAAGCTCTAGCCATAGCCTGTCAACCCTCCCCTAGAACTACCGTTCAGATCCTTGTACTCTAATCCCGTAATAGCACGCACAGCCTTCGGACCTTTACTTTCTCCTCAAGAAATGATCGGTACCACCAACAGCCCACATCACGGACTACTGCTACTGGTGCCTCCTTTCGATAGGTTGGCAAGGCTTTTTCCCTCCATCGGCTGTTACTACTCATCGTGAACGTCGGGCTTCGGAGATGATCAGCAAGAGCAAGACGCGAAAGGCCCGAAAGCGACGTCCCGGACTACGAAGAAGGTTGGTACACTGCATACCGTAGGTTTCATACGTAAGAAACCACACCCCCCGGATCGACTTTCAAAGCTCGATTACTCCACGACGAAGAGGATGCCGAAATCAAAGGAAAAGTTTTCGGAAATCTCTCGACGAGACGGTTCCAACGCCTCCGGCCATTTTCGGCACCGCCACTACTTTTTCCTGCCGAGAAATCGAGCTTCGAACATCTGTCCGGGGGGTGTTATATCTTGTGCAACCTAGTGTATGACCAAACGCGATCCGAAGGACGGGAGCGACCCACGAACGACCTGGCATCCTATCTGACCATCACCTTATTCCACTTGAAACTTCTGTAAAATACTCGGTTCTATGATGGGAGCTTGAGGAAGCGTTGAGTGGGGTCGATGGCGCAACTTGGAGCTGATACTGCTTGCCGAGTTGGTCGTTCCACAGCGTTTGGCGTCGTTTTTCTTGGTCTGCAGGCCCTGATGTGGTGTTTGGGAGAGAAGCTGAGCAACGCGTGATTGACTGGCGGTGTTGGGGGTGACTTGACGAGCGTTTCTCTTTTCTAAATAGCAGCGTGGACGTAGAATCACGACGCCCTCGTAAGCGTGTTCCTGTTGCGAGGAGGCCAATGTCTTGAGGACGGGAAAACAAAATATTCAGGGCTCCCATACGTGTTCGACCCGGTGTGCATGGTTGCGAGTGTATGGTCGCATACGTGAGGACGGCCGTGTGTCACAGCAACGAATTTATCCATCGCCTCTGCAACCAGGGCAGGGACACGTGGACTCACCCGCGGAACACACGCCCCACATTGGTGCCCCAGGAGACGAGCGGTTTTGGAGCTATCAAGGGCAACAATCCAGTCATGCGGCTGTCGTTTTCTTTTGATCGGTATTTCGTGCCTGCTTGTGTACGCGTAGGGACCAACCACCCTGTGATGCTCGTTTCAAGTGAGATTGCCCTGCTCCCTCTGCTCCGTTGCCAATGTACGCAACTGCGGTAGGTCTCACCTCCTGGTGGCGACCGCGATGTCAGCCATGATCGTCGGCATCGTGGAAAGTAACAGTAAGTGGCCAACACCCATGTTTACGGGGCGTTGTTGCGAACTTCTGCCAAATGGCGTCCAAATTCGGAACGATGTGTCCGTCCTGCTTATGATCCCCGCGATAGCCCACCGGGAACACTTTCATGGTACATGATATCGAGTGCTGTTACAATTACATGTGCGTGGTACATGATATCTAGTGCTGCTACAATTTCGTGTGCCAATAAGCCTGTCGTGCCAATGAGCCTGTCGGAAGAGGTATTATCCGCGACTCGTAACTAATGGCGCGTCAGCACGAATGTGCGGGGCTCCTAGCGTGTGTCTTGTAGGCTAGCGGAGGGGTGTCACGCGCAAAGGGTTTTTGGTTCCTCCTACTCGCCCGCGACGTTGCTGCCGAGCAGGGCTGGTTGAGTTTCCGTCTGGCGTCATGTGCACGTGGAACGACCTACCGCACCCGGCTCAGTTCGCGGTCATATTTCTGGTGAGGGAGCTTTACCCACGCTGCTACGCAACGTCTTGTGGGACAGATGTACCGTTCACATTTTGTTTTTGCTGCGTCATTGGGCCTAATGCTGCTGCCGCTGCGTGCCTTCGAAACAAAACCAAGCGGCAGGATGCGTCGATGGCCGCCAGTCGAACAAGCTCAAGTTGCCGTGTCGTCACCAAGAACCGAGCTCATTTCGATTTCGGCGGCGTGGTGCGTTATGGTGCTCCGACTCCCCCCACAGATGCTTGCGCTCCTGTTCGGAGTCCACCAGATTTTCGGCAAGCTTGACAGCGCCGCGTACGCTCGGCTATCTCGTGCCGTAAGTGCTTGGATGAATGAGAGGCGGCATGCACATCAGGGTTAGTCGAAGACGCGCGATGGCATCGGGGGTTGAACACTACAGCGAGCACTACTTTGGGACTTCAAGAGAGTTGGAATTCGATTGGTGCCTATTTGCCTTTGCGTCGGTGAGGGCGTTTTCAGGTCAAGAATTCCACGGGTTCGATTCGATACTCTGTAGGGAGCCCCCACGCGGGTTATTGCGAATGAGCACGGTACGTCACTGCAGCACCTTGCACGCCAAGAGAGTTTGCGTGGGGAGGTGGTCCATACATGTAAATACACCCGAATTTCTATTGACTTGCGGACCCCTCGGGGCCAGTTTATCTGAGTGTACCTTTTTAGGGTAAGTTAACCTGTGACCACGGGAATCGACCGCGTCGAGTGTTGGATCAGTACGGACATACGGAGGTACTGGGTAGAGAGAGATCGGAACGGTTTTTAATGTGAAGACAACAACAACAACAACAACGACAACAACGACAACAACAACAACCCGAAGAGGGGACATAACTTACAGTTGTTTTGTATTTGGGTGTTTCTAGCATGCCCCCATAAAGTATCCATGAGGAGTGTGCACAATAATAATCTTTTCAACAGTTCCGGTGAAAGCTTGAGGGGTCTCAAGGGCAGCCGGAAACGGTTCGCGATGTGTATAATAAAATCGTGTGTTTAGTGTTTCCGTTTGTACAAAGGCGGCGACTTTCCAGGGCAAAATTGGCAAAGCCAGATCCAGGATAGCTGCGCGGGGTTTTCGGCTGTTTGGTGGTGTCAAAAATGTTTCCCGAGTTTCGGCTTTGGTAGACCAGACCCGCAACATCGTCTGCTGCTGGCCGCTGGTGTGGTGTCTAGAATTTCACGGGGTTGGGTGTGTGGTGAGGGATTTGAGGCGATGTGTATCATACGCCATAAGTAACGTTTTTGACTCAACACCACGAAAGCTTTTGTTGCCCGGCGTTCCATTTCTTTCCCTTGTCCGTCCATTTTTTGGGGATGATGAAAGGGCAGCAAGCTCGCAAAGCTCGCAATTCCAGTTTAAGCACTTTTCAATGAAGGTCGAAAGGGCTCTCCGTTCTGCTTATCTACCCGGGGCGGGGATGGGAAGGTTGGAATAGAATCGCCACTTTAAGACCCTTCTTCATGGAAACAGAATCTTGCAAATATATCTTGGCATTTTGACCCAAGATTTGCTCACAATATATCTCCGCGAAGATTTGCAGTATCGCGATTCATGGGGGAAATATGTTGAATGTTGAAAAAGCGGCGTGTTGTTCCTCCCTTCTGCTTGAAGTTGATAAAGGCACAACGGCCACTTGGTCCACAGAAAATGCCGAGGTGTGGCGAAAAGTGAGCATGACGCAGTTGTAGAAGGGGCGTCCGTCCCCCTGTATTGCCTCAACACTGTGGGTGGATATTAGCGGTGGGCGCCTACCTGGGGTGCAAAATAGAAGCCGTTGCCCACGAGCTCATGTCAAGCGGAGAAATAAAATTGTTCCATTGCTGTCCAACTGACAAGAAAGTGCATCAACCCGAGGCCGATGACACCCAAACACGTATCTCACTGCTGTGTAGCAGGCGTACCGAGGTCAAACCTCCGGCGCTGTCATCTGCACCCACGGATTTGGCTCGGGTGCAAACGGGTTGTGTGTGGGGTGATTCGATGAAGAGATAGAAGCGTCGCACACTACAGAGCAGTGTTGGCAACTTTCACCTCTTCCTCTATTTTTCTACTTCAAAATAAAGAACTCTTTGAACGGTCTCTCGACAAACTGGTGATGACGCACGTGGAACGAGCCAGGGCAAATCCGCATTTCTTTCGCGCGCCTTGGTCGTTCTCGTTCGCTGTCGGCGCCCGTGGCGCCGACACAGTGAGGCCAGGGTGCGTTAGAGACCCTTGCGAGTGTGCAACGTGCAGATTTCATGGCGCTATGGACGATTAGGTTGACTTACCTAATGTGATCGCGCCGCACCCACAGGCAAGATTTGTTACGCCGCCTCAAGATTTGTCGGAAGGCTCGTTTCGACAGATCTTGGGTCAAGATTTGTTCGAAAGGGCAGATTTCGGGCCTCGAGAAATCTTGGCCAAGATGTATCGGAAGATTTCGCTCCCATAAATCGTGAAACTGGCAGATCTTGGCCAAGATCAAGATTTATCGACAAGATTTTGTTCTCATCAATCGGGGTCTAATGCGCTGAACGGATGATGACCATCCGGACACTAGGTGGTGCTCCCCCAGCAGTTGTCCGTTTCGCTGTCGTTACCCCTTTCTTTTGGCCTGCCAGTCAGTGCGGTCCCTTAGAGAAAGAGGGCCGTCCGTGAAGAACCAGGTTGTTGGTTGATTTGTCACCCTCCTTCACTGGTCTCTCACCCGCCGCACCCCTTGCCATCTTCGATTTTTTTTTTCTGTCTACATACTCCTTGACTAGCTGTGCATGTGGACTGTACAACGAACCTGGTAACACCTGGAATACCGGTCCCATTATTTGCTCTAACTGGAGCCAGTCGAAGAATACTACATTCCTCCTGAGGTTTGGCGATGTTGCTCAGGGACTGACATACAACATATTTTGTATCCAGTATGCTTTGAGCACGACGGGGTACCGCCCGAGACAATCTACTTTGTGAGGGGCTCGAAGTATCACATTGATTGCCGCCCACCACAACAACACAGCCGTTCACCATTTAAGATCGGAGGGGAATAAATCCGCCATCTGAGCGCCACATGAACGAATGATTCTGCCAGTTATGGAGCGAATGATAACTTCTCTGGCCAAGGGCGCCAGATGCGGCACACGAGGGCCGAACGTGAACTCTTTGCATGTAGAGCGAGGACGAGGAGTGTTACTCCTTGATGCGTGGGAGCTCAAGCCAGAGCGGCAATGGATTACTTGTCAACGCGACCGACGGCACACACATGATTTACATGTTTGTTGGTTGGTTTCTAGAAATGACAGCGACTTACATGATGAGGCGACTACACAGGGGGGCGCTCTACCAGAATTCTGAAACAGACAGGTGTTCCCAATCCCACCCGGCACTAAACAACAGAGAGTATAGTCTAAAATAACTCGGAGTATGGTACAGTAGTAAGGGTTGCGGTCAGTCTGTCTGTGTGTACGCGCGCTTCGAAATGTCTCTCTCTGTTGTTCCGGACAGGAAGCAACACCTTGGGGTATAGGACACTGCAGAGTTCACAATGATACCGAGAGGGGAAAACATGACAGAGCACTGGTTGGTGGTGTAGGGTGCAAGATCCTCTCATCAACATGTACCGTTACCTTTTTCTTGTGATGACGTAACATTGGGCACTTGATGAGGCGAAAGAACAAGCTCAGAAACAATGATTAGACTACATATGTCGAGAATAAACACACATACACACAGAAAGACTACATACGTACATGCATACCCATTCGAGATAGTACACCCACTGCTGTCAATGATGTCCAACTACATCTATAGACGGAGAAATTGTGTCGTTTGTGGGGCATACTGACCATCGAATAGTCTCCCTCCTCTGATATGCACACAACGCCGATTGGTCGGGGTCATTGTCAAGTAGATGAGACTAAGTGTTTGAACAATGAGGCCTCAGTTCTCGTGTAGTGTAAAGAAATGGCACCGGTAGAGGGCGATTGACTCCGCGGTACACGCGTACATTCGCACGCCGGCGTGCAATAATGGCCTTGTGTGATTTCTGTCGTGGCAGTCTTCGACTGGGCGGCATGACTTTGCCGCGGTGACTACCAATCGAGGGGTCATTTGATAGGGGTATTTTGAGAACAGACGGCTCAGGTGCGGAGGCACAGCTTTGCACTTGCGCCCAGGACCGGAACTGTCTGCATTATCCAATCAGCAGGTGTCATTCTTTCGCTTACGTTTCAGAAATTTCGCAAGAACCCCGAAATTTCTGCGCGTGTACGGTGAAGGATCGAAACGGTGATACGCTACAGATACCACCTCGCGACCGACAACGGTGCCGCTGCCCCAGCAGAATGAAGAACCGCCCTTCACACCCGGCATTCGCACTCGGCCATGTGCACGGTCATGTACCGATTGTTGACCATGTACCCACTAGAATAATATTGGAAAGTTCCAGAGAATTCCCAAATTAACCGTTCGCGACTCGCGACTATACTACTGTCTGTTGGAACAAACTGGCTTTTGCATGTTTTTCCAATCGCGATCGGAACCAAAATCGTTTTATGCACAGGTTCCTCCCGCCCCTCTCCCTACGCAGCCTGCACACAACACACACAACACACAAGCACACAAACTCAACTCCCACTCACTCCCACTCTGGTTCTTCGAGCGTGTTGGTCGCGCCCTGAACGAGAGGTGAGTGGATCCGCCACATGCTGCACCGGGATGGAGCAGATAGATCGAAAGGTACGTCGAGATCAAACCAAATTGAGATCGTGCCCGGTGGTTGTTGTGTTGATGTGCTCAGGTTGTTGTGCACAATCTCACGTGGTGAGTATGCCTTCATACTGTCGTTTTCGACACGTACGTACCCCCCAAAAAACAGAACACGCAGCGGCGGTCAGGCGGTGGTCACGCTGTGCTGTGCTGTGGCTGTTGTGTAACTGCAGTCAATGTTGTACGGTACACTGCTGTACACCTTTTCGGGCCTTTTGTGCACCTTTGTTTTGCCTTATTTTTCTACAGCGTGCTAATTATATAGATCGGAGGGGAATCCGCCGACTGAGCACCACATGATGGCTACGATATGCGTGTGCAAACTTTTTCTAGCCATCAAGGGTGCCAGATGCCGCACGCCGAGCCTGAACTTTGCATGAAGAGCGAAGGCGGAGTGTTACTCCTTGACGCGTACGAGCTCAAGCCGAATCGACAATAATAATGTTGTCGACACGACGACACACACACAATGGATACAAGTTGTTGTTTGTCGGCCGTACTCCGCGTACTTATCGGGTATTGTTTGTGTAGTGTATTAACTTCAGACGGTGAGGCAACGCCCGTACCCAGGGCGCTGTCGTGCTCAGAGAGGAGGAGTGGCAGCAGGGCTGCTGCACACAACAAAAGGGGGCCCCGGTGCATCATCACCGTACCCCTACCTAAAAGGTTCTACACCATCTGCGTCACACTTGTACGTACGGCTAACATATCCAAACCATGTCCGTAGACCCACGAACACCCTCCCTGGTTCTTCACGCAAGTGACTAACCATCAGTGGGGCAAAAACACC